TCGGATTCTCCAGCATCTGCAGTTCCTACGATCTCCCTCTGTCGGAATGTCTTTTTCTGCATTCGTTGTTTGATGTCCGTTTAATTCCCTTTGCTATTTGATACTCTTACTGTCACTGTGTGTATGATCTAACATGAAATCTTTACCAACAAGCTGCAGTCAGTCACGTTCACGGAACAGCTGAAACGCATGGAGAGTGAAACGTTTATCACGAATTTATAATGAATTGCAATTGTAATAGCGTTCGGATTGCATTATTTGTTATTGCTCTGTAACTGCCTGTGACTTTAATCATCGTCATATAAATGCATCTCAGTCCCTCGCTCACAACCAGTTTCATATTTCCTGTAACTGCATTTGAGAAGAGCTAAAATGACGCAATGCATCAAGTAGTAAGTACGAGATAACAGTAGGCCAGGCAGCAGAAAAGTTGACTTTTCGGGTCAGGACCCTTTTTCTGAAAAAGTCAACTTTCCTGCTTCTCTGCTGCCTGGCCTGTTGTGTTCCTCGAGCTCCACATTGTGTTATCTCAACATCCTGGTAAATCTTTTCTGAAGCTCCTCCAGTGCAATAATATCCTTCCCTGACAGGGTGACCAGAACCTGATATAGTGCTTCAGTAAAAGTCTCAAAAATGTCCTGTATTCAAAAGGAGTGAGTAATGAAGCCAGGTGCCACGTGGTCTACAGCTGATGCAAACTTAAAAGAACTGTATACTTGACCCATTAGTTCTCTCTGTTCTGCAACACTATCCAAGGCCCTACTTGTATCTGTACAAGACCTGCTGCTCTGTTTTTCAAAAATGCAATGCCTCAGTACCTCCATCTGCCCGTCCTCAAGCCATTGACCCAATTGATCACGATCTGTTTGTAATCTTCAATAGCCATCTTCACTGTCCACTATGCCACTAATTTTGGTGACCTCTTCAAAATTACGACCCATGCCTTCTAAATTCTCATCTAAATCATTTATTTAAAAGATAAACAAAAGTGGACCCAACACAAGTTGGAGTGGAACACCACTCGTAACAGGCCTCCGGTCCAGAAAGCAACTGCCAAGCTGTCTCCATCTCCTGCCATCAAGCCAGTTTTGTATCCAATTTCCAGCCTCACCCCAAGTCCCATGTAATCTTACCCTATTATTTCATCTGCCATGAAGAACATTGTCAAAGACTTTGTGAAGGAGCTTACCCTCCTCATTCCCATGCTTTCCCCCCCAACCCCTCAAACCCTGGCTAGAAACAAATACTCAGGATGCAGACCAGATTCAGGCAAGTGGGAGATGTTTATTCAAGAAGAAACCAGTTAATGCAGGGAGAGGGCCAAAGGATCTTCCACAAATCTGTTCTCGATGTGAGAAAGCATTTTTCCCTTAATCTACAGCTCAGATCGGAAGAGAGATCAATGACACACTTTGATTTTGCAAGGAAGTACAGCATTTCTATACACTACATGTTACAATAATCAAATGTAAAGTAGTCACTGTCCTTCACCTTAATCCAGACACCTAACCCCATGGGGCACCGAATCAATCATGGTCATAGGAACAGCCTAGGTTCTCATTATCTCATGGTGTTTACTAGACATTGTCATCACTGGGCCTTGGGATCTTTCTATGCATCCTATTAATTCACATTCTGTAAGTTATTAGCTATACTCCTGGTCTGTCCTAGACTTTATCTCTAAGAGTTGTTTGAATCCTATTATTTGTGGTATTATGTGTGACCCCTTTCTAAAAGGATTGATTAAATTTGATATTTCCCACCATCCTGATATATATATGGCAGTTAGAGCTACATGATTAGCTCTAATCTTATAACAGTAATTAAGGTGTAAAGTTCTGCAGCTACTTTTACTGCCAGCACTTTGTCACTAATGAATTGGATCAATCTGTCTTGTTTACGATGTAAGATAAGGCATGTCCTAAAGCTGATTCACTTTCACATGGGTTTAAATGTGTTTTCCTCAACTGCTTGTATTATATTCTGGTCATATGTTGAAACCTACTTCTGTGATTATCAAAATAATTCTTTAAATAGAACCTTTTTTTCCTTAATACTATAGTTTAAAAAGCTAACTGCTATGAAATACCTTTAGCTGTTGTTCTTTTTTGTAGCTGTTTACGGAGTTAGTCTAAGCTAAGATTTAGACCCCTGATGCTATGTCTCCAGTGGAGCAACATCCTTTCATTGATGAGACTGGAGTCATTTATCCGTTCTTAGGCATCCTCTTATCAAAACTGTCTTGATGCTTCTTGGCCTGCTGTGTTCATCCAGCTCTACACCTTGTTGTCTCAGATGATGGGTTGCAGGGCCTTTCTACGACCTTGGGCAGATCTCTTCCAAGATATTAGTATGTTTCACTTTAAATGTTAGAGCAGACCGCCCCATTTTGTTTAGTCCTTGTGTGTCTTTGTTCAAACAGGGGCCGCTTTGTTGTATGCAGGTCACCCCTACACTTCACTAAAGTCCAAGGAAACAATATGTACCACTCTGCTCTCAATCATCTTGGTTACTACCTCAAAAAATTCAATCAATTTTGAGATATAATTTCCCTCACTCAAAACCATGCTGACTATCCCTAACCATTCTTTGAAAACCCCCACCTACCCCATACATATGAATCGTATCTTTTGGAATCACCTCCAACAATGTACCCACCACATAATTCAGACTCACAGGCCTATACTTACTAAGCTTCTCCTTATGTCCCTTCTTGAAAATAAAGGCACATCAGACTACCTCCAGTTATGCCGCACCTCACTAGAGTCATAGATGGTACAAACATTACTGCAAGGGTTTCTGTAACTTCCTTCTTAACTTCCTACAATATCCTCAATACAGTATATCAGATTCTGGACATTTATTCAACTCTATGCTTTCTAAGACCTCCAACGCTTCCTCTTCTGTAATATGAACAGTTTTCAAAATATCAATATTTATTTCCCAAGTTCTCTAGCTTCTATTTCTCTCCCCCAACAATTTTATTTGTGAAATATTTGTTTTCTATTCCTCCTGTCTTCTGAGTTTCAAAACTCAAATAGGTAGCCTTTGTATTAAGAGCTCGAGTCTTTCTCTCTAATCACTCGCTTGCTTTTAATGATCTTGCAGAATCTCTTTGGATTATCCTAAACTTTAACACCAAAGCTATCTTGAATGCCCTCTTTGCTTTCCTGATCTCTTCAGAATGCCCCTACACTCCATAGTGCTCCCTCACTATCAAATCAGTAACTCGCCCTGCCGTATTACCGATGAAAAGGTAATTTTTTTTTCCTCCTGTCTCTACACTCATTTGAACCCAGTCATCTCTATCTAATACGATTTCTTTTGTATTCCCAACAAGAACCTCAATATCTTTATTAATCCATTGTTCCTTTATCCTGCCAGCTTACCTTTTAGTCCAAGATGATCATATTAACTCTGAACTTTCATATGACACTTGTGAATGCCTACCACTTATCAGACATCCCCCTACCTGTGAACACTCTACTACCAATGGGTGGCACAGTGGTTAGCACTTCAGAGCACCAGGGACCCGGGTGTGATTCCAGCCTTGGGCGACTGTCTGTGTGAGAGTTTGCACATTCTCCCCATGTCTGCGTGGTTTTCCTCCAGGTGCTCTGGTTTCCTCCCACGGTGCAAAGATGTGCAGGGTCGGTGGATTGGCCAAGCTAAAATTGCCCATTGTGCCCAGGGATATTTAGGTTAGGTGGGTTAGATAGGGGAATGGGTCTGAGTGGGATGCTCTGCCCTATTACTGAAGTAAACATTATTTTTTTTTCCCCTGTCTCTACCAAGAATATTTACATGTCAAAGAAAATTTTCTTGAACACAATTAGCAAGTTCTTCACTGTCCAAACCTTGGACACTAGTGTAGTCCCACTCAACATTTGGAAAATTAAAATCACCTATTACAACATTATTATCCTTACTTCCGTCTGAGATGTCTCTACATATATGTTCGTCAATGTCCATCTGACTATTGTGGGGCCTATTAACACAATCTCATCAAGGTGATCATTCCTTCCCTTTTCCTAATTTCAACCCACATATTTTCACTGGACAATTGTGAAGAAATATCTTCAATAGTTGCAGCAGTTAGGTGTAAGATGGAATAAGGGAGGGAGACTTTAAAACTAATGAAAAGACGGTGTCCCTATCAATACATCGATCAGGAAGCACGTTCATGGAATCCAAACACAGCAGAAAGATTGATTGATCGAATCTGAACAAACGTTCCGAAGAGCATCTACCAAAGTAGGATTAATGAGCAATGGTTGAATTAGATGATTACGGTTCGACGTTGAGAATAGAAAAAAAAATATCAGATATTGAAAATGAGGTTGAACTGAATCTCTTGAGCAGTATAAAAAGAGTAGGTGCATTCTGAAGAGGGAGATCCGGAGGGCAAAGAGGGGATATGAGATAGCGGTAAGAATAATCCGAGGAGATTCGAAAAAAAAATCATTTAAAGCAACACAATAGCGAGAGCGAGAGAGAGAGAGAGAGAAGCCTCTTGTGAAATGAGGAAACAAATTGTGTGAACTACAGATTTTGTAATCTGAAAATCGAATCAAATCAACTCGTTAAGTACACTTGCATTCTTCTGTGTAAAACCGCCTTCGGATTTCTACATATTGGCGGGATTTTCAAATTTGTAAGAAAGCGTTTAACGATTTGGCGCCATTTTCCCCGCCCTCCTTCTCAGCCATGGTCACAGTTATCAGAAAAAAGAAACAGCAGATGCTGGAATCCAAGGTAAACAAACAGGAGGCTGAAAGTAGAGCTGGAGGAAAGGCCAAGGGAAGCAAAAAGCACAGAGGTTTTGTCGTGAATTTCTAATTTGCAGACAGGAATGCCGTACTTCAATTATTTTGTGACTTAAATCTCAATTTATAATTAAAATACGCTTCTTGAGTTTTAATTTAAATAACACAAATGTATCAGTCCTACGCACTTGTGTTTTTTTTCAGCCACATGCAGTTCCTGCAATTACAGCTGAATTAGCCCGGTGCAATAATAAGATATGGTTATATAACAACGAAACGCACATCATGCGTCAGTTCGGCTCTTTTTGGATAGTTTAGTGGCTCTGAAAAGAGCCGTTGGGTTTCTCGGGGTTAACCGACAGGGCCAGGTACGCTCCGTTTAGGCGCGCTCCCCGCGGATCCGGCGGGCCAGCTGGATGTCTTTGGGCATGATGGTGACTCGCTTGGCGTGGATGGCACACAAGTTGGTATCCTCAAACAGCCCCACCAGGTAAGCCTCGCTGGCCTCCTGCAGGGCCATCACGGCCGAGCTCTGGAACCGCAGGTCGGTCTTGAAGTCCTGAGCGATCTCCCGCACCAGGCGCTGGAAGGGCAGCTTGCGGATCAGCAGCTCGGTCGATTTCTGGTAGCGGCGGATCTCTCGCAAAGCTACCGTGCCGGGCCTGTAGCGATGAGGCTTTTTCACTCCGCCCGTGGCCGGCGCGCTCTTGCGGGCTGCTTTGGTCGCCAGCTGCTTGCGGGGAGCTTTTCCTCCGGTGGATTTACGCGCTGTCTGCTTGGTTCTAGCCATTCTCTTCAATTCTATGCAAAACACTTAGACGTTGCTGCTGTCAATGCTGAGCCTGCGGCGGTGCTGCCTATTTAAAGGAATTGAAGAGCCCGCCTTAGAGATGGGATTGGATACAGTCCCTTCCCTCAACCCAATGAGAAACAGCTGCGGAAGGTACAGGAAAGGCAATAAAATAGTTGTTGGCGTCTGATTGGTTAACTTCAAATGACAGTTTGTCAATTTCAAAAAGCCCGCCGATTTTACCCTCGCAATCCTGAAATTAAGTTAAATATTTAAATGCAAAATAAAGTCCAACGACGATAAAATCTGTACTTTGTGGGATTTCTTTTTAAACCTAACTTGCAGTTAACGCGGACAGGACGCGGGATCATTGCCTGATCTGCCCGTAACAGGTAGGAGGAAAGCGCGGGGTTTTAACACAGCCCAGACTTCTGAAGAAGGGTCTGGGCCCGAAACGTCAGCCTTCCTGCTCCTCTGATGCTGCTTGGCCTGCTGTGTTCATCCAGCTCCACACCTTGTTATCTCAAACTAATCAACCGGCCGTGTCACCTCCGTTAATGAATCTAAATAACACCGCCGATTGAAGCATCTTCAAAGCTAAT